GCATATGTATAGAAACGCCAATGGAAACTTCAGAGAGCAAGGTTTGGGCAAATTTCTTAGCTGTGAGGGTTTTGGGAAGGGTGATGCATCCTAATTTCTTGGGGAAGGGACATGGAAGCTCCATGTTCAGGATTCTACCAGACCTCACCCTCTGGGGCTCTCCATTTGGTTGGTCCTGATTTATATCCTTTATAATAAAAGTGTAACTATAGGTATAGTGTTTTCTTGAGTCCTGTTAATCATTCTAGCAAGTTATCAAACCTGCAGGAGTCATGGTAACCCCCAAATTTGTAGTCAGTTTGTCAGAAGTGCAGGTGGCTTGGGGACTCCCAAATTTGTGACTCCATTCTGGGAACCTTCTAGATTGCTAAAAATGTTCTATATGTTTATTGGGATGGTGATAACATGGAAGTATGCACAGGTTAAAAAATTGACTAATGATATACTTAAGATGTATACATTTTTTAATGTAAGTTATACGTCCATTTAAAAGATTAAAGAAAAAGGTCAACATTGCATATGTTTCAAATGAACAAATTTGTTGCAGGATTGTGATAATCAGGATTTTTTATTGGTGTTTTCTAATGTGTGAATATAGGTAATATAAACTCAAATTTTGTTAATTCATAGTTGATATAGTAAATCCACCAGGGCCTCAACCCAATGTCACCTAATACTACAGAGCACAAATGTCCAGGACAGTGGACATCACAAAGTTTAATGGTGGTACCGGAGGGAGACAGGCAGTCCCGGGCCGGGGGGTGGGGTGGGGGGGTGGGGGGGTGGGGGGGTCAGAGTAGGAGGTTGTGCATCTTAGCTGGCCCTGCCATTTATTGGTAGTGTGATAGTAGGTGAGGGGCAATGAGAGTTTCTCAGCAAGTTGATAGGATGGAAATGACGTTTATAAACATAAAAGCACACGGTAAATTCCTGTGAGTGTAACCTTTAGAGTTATTGTTACTGGCAATTGTTACATCAAAGTACCAGCTGGAAGAGACCACCTTTATATTTCTGAACTTCTAAACTTCCTGGCATTTCAGTTTTTATTCTTTGATTTTAAAACTGAAAGCCACAATAATAATAGGAACAGAAAGAGAAGTCTCTTAGAGCAGGAAATGTAAACTCAGGGCTAACCCCCATCCTCAGAAAATACCAGGGGCATCCTGGAGAAGGGAATCCTGAGCTGGAGCTGTCCCTTGTATACTCATTTACAAATCAATTTAGCAGAATGCCCAGAGGGGAGGGGAGGGAAAAGCAAGACCTGAGCTAGAAATGCAAAGATCCTTAAGCCTGAAATGAAGAAAAACATACTCATTTGGCTTTAAATAAAGCCATAGGCTGTTTGAAATTGAATTTTAGACTAGAGTTTGGGTAAGCATATCAATAGGTAGTGTATCATTCTTCACTTTTGTTTGTTTGGGGGGTTGGATAATGTATTTAGAATATCCCACTTTAGAAATTAGATAAATATGTATTAAAACATCACGTAGATTTTACCATTTAATTTAGTTAATTCCGTGCTGCATAAGTGAAATGTATCGAAGCTCTTATGGATCTCATTTCTTTGTGTTACATTTTTAATTTAATGCCTTTACTTTCTTTTGAAAGCTTTCCATTTCATTCATATTTTTATGTTGTTTATATTACCGGATCATTATTTTCTAAACTATATGCCTTGAACAAGGATGCTAAATTTAAAGACAGAGAAAACAAAAGTTTTGGTTATATTATTTTAGAAATTATTTATCAAATCAGATGTTTTTATTGCAGGTCATCTCAGAGAATTTAACATTTTATTGTGTACTGTGAATGTCCAGGCTGTAGTATTGAGGTTTCCTGCAGTTTATTTGACCCAATAACCCCTTTTTCTTACCTCCACACATTGGCATCTCTTGAGACTGATTTTGTGGAAAAATTCCTAATGATAATATGCAAACATACAATAAGGTATCATTGTTTTGACAGATCACACCTATTGTGGGAAAAACCAACACATATGACTTTCTTTTTAAACAAAATGTTTGATTATAATGGCAAATAATGGTATGTTTAGACAATGATCAAAGTGGCTGTGTGTGTGTGTGTGTGTGTCACCTTGGTTGGTAATAGATGCATACCAGGTGGTATCATTTAATTAACTGTGTAACAATAGAACTGGTTATTATTTAGATTTTGCCCTTTCATGATTCTTTGTTGTAAATGGTTTTACTTATACTTATAGATGCATATATTAGAGAGGTGAATATGATTCATGCTCATTAATAAAGGCATTAAACTTATCATTTCGTTGTACTGGATTTCTAAAATGATAAAGATAATTACTTTTGTTGGTGTAACTATAGTTTGTGAAATCCATCTTTGAAATATAATTCAGTTAAGTGGGGTTTTTTTTAAGTATACTGGGAAATAAAATTGTCTCTGAAGAATACACTACTTTGCATTTTGAAATTTGATTTTATACTCACAGTGTTCAGAACATCATTCAATTCAAATAAAATAATTAAATCTAGAGAATATGCCACATTTGCATTAAGTGTCTAGTTCCAAAACACCTCCTACACATTTGGATTGAATGTGGTCACTGCTTTTCCAGTGTTCCTGAAAGACCAAAATAATATGCTGCTCACTAATATATGATAAAAATTCAGCACTATTCATTCTCAGAGAGCATCTTTAATATAGACATATAATTTATTTTTATTTTATAGTGTCATTATAAGAGGACTTCAGTGTTCCTAAATGGATTATAGACATAATTCGCCTTATCCCTAAATAGAACTAGTCCCCATTTATGCACCGAACAGATGCAGTAACATATGATGAAGCAGCTAACTCTAAGTCAGTGACCTCTTTCTGCTTTTAATTTTTCTTTAACTGTTGGCCAGAAGGCAGATTATCTCCAAGTGTTCTCTATGATTGTTGTCAGAGAAGCATTGTGATGGCACGTTAAACAAGTATAAAAGTGATCCTGGGAAGCAGAATGAAGGCTATTGAAGTAGCCCAGATTCACACATTTGTGTGGCTCTTGGCTTTCTCAAGCTCTGTTCATTTTTCATTTGGGCTTCTAAGGAAGCAGGGGTGATTCCCTTTATATGAACTTCAAGAAAGGCTAAAAATATAGTGACAGAAAGCACACCAGCGATTTCAGAGGTGGGGGGTGGGAGTCAGGTATTGAGAGGGGCAGGAGAAAACTTTCCCAGGAAATGGAAATGTTTTGTGTAATAATACTACTATACGTATTTGCCAAATCTCATCAAATTCTACACCTACCATTGTTAAATTTTATTATATGTAAATTATACCTAAATAAAACTGCTTAAAAAGAAAGTATGCTATGATAAAAAAAGTATGATAAAATTCAATAGTAAGGAGAAAGGGGATCCTAGAATTTATTAATACCTGGAAATGACCAGAAAAATCATGGGATAGCTGAGTTTCTCCAGAATCTGGGAAAGGATTAACATCAGATAAAAAAATGTAAAGTGATGATGAAAGATAAAAATGATTACACCCATCAGTTCTTCTTGATCATCACAACTGTTTAATATATAAACCACCTAGCCTAGTGCTTAGCACATAGAAGACACTTAATAAATGCTGAATGCTATTATTTTTATTGTACATTAGGAGTGCCTAGACAGCCTAATAGGAATTATGACTAAATAGACAGAAGCTTCCTCCTACCTACTATGAAGACAGCCTATGAATGAACTAGTTCTGGTAACCTGAAATACACAAAAGGAGGTGGAATTTATCAATGACTGGTTTAGGATAATTAATAAACTCTAATGTATCAAAGAAGCTGAATATTAGAGTATTTCACAGGCACGTTCTTAGCTATTTTTTTGTGTGTGAAATTATTTCTGAGCTATCTAAACCCATTGTGAGTACTCTCAGAAGAACTTTATATCTGATGAGAGTTAAGAGTTCTAAAGTTTGCAGGCATTCAACAGAAGTCATAGCCATATGTGTAACATTTGATTTATTTTGAAATGTTTCTTGGCCATGTGAGAAATTAGTAGTGTGCCAACAATGATTATAGGAGGTTGAGGCTCAAGTTAACTCTGATCTTCACATGTGCTGTGATAGAGAAAATATAATAGCCAACATTTATTGACTTCTTAATGTGCTTAGCACTAACTGTGCTAGGTAAATTTCATGAATTATCACTTTTGAACCTCATCACCACATTAGGAGACACAGATAAGCAAAGAGGTTGCACCAGTATTAAGAAGCAGATCAAAATTTTTGTCTGACTCCAACAGTTGAGAACCCCTGATGTGGATGGTGGGACAAAGCTGGTGAGTTTTATCAGAGCCGGATTGCTGACATTATGTCTTTGGTGTCCCTTGACCTATCCTGGGAATATGGGATGGAGAGACATAATTGGTCTGGTCCAGACTCTCTGAACCTCAAATAATAAGTCCAAGGATAGCAGCCTATAGTAAATGGTCAATAAATGATTTTTGAATGAATGGATAGCTGCATGCATTTGAATTCTTAGAAAGTAGGATTTGTATAATATATTCTTAACATAGGAAAGATACCAAACGTAGCCTAAGGTTAATGTTGGATTATGGTGCATAATTTATTTTCAGAACTACTCATCTGACCAAGTCTATTTACAAGTCCATTTTGGGGCAATGGCATAGACACACTTCTATGTAAGATTGCTGGCATTTTCAATAACTTGAATTTTGATAAACCTTTAATTATATTTTAGGATTATCAAACTGAGACAATTGTTGATCATAAATGAGAAAAAACATTAGTATGCAAACTCTAAAGGGTACATTTATCATTTTCTTATCATACTGAGCTTCGAGCTTATTGTCTATTTTCCAAGAAAGTAGAAAGGCTGTTTCTTAGAATAAAAATGTTTTTTATAATGTGAGCAGTAGATTCAAGCTGTACAGATTGCCTCTTTAATGAAATAGGCAACATTCCAATGGAACTGACAAGCTTTATTTCTATTTGTTGTATTTTCTTTCTCATTACAGATGGACCCGATTCAGAAAGCTGTAATAAATCATACATTCGGGGTTCCTCTTCCTCATCGAAGAAAGCAAATCATATCATGCAACATTTGCCAGTTGAGATTTAATTCCGATGTAAGTTTACCATTTAGTATTCACTGAAAAAAATGCATTATGCTGTTCTAATCTTGCAGAAGAGATTTCTTAAACATTTTTCTCCAATAACTGAGCATGTCAAAATTCAAAGATAACATTTTAACTTCTTATGTCTTTTAAATTTGGAGTTTATTTTATTATTTTTGGTTGTTTATTATGGAAACATCATACATTAACAATATTTTATACTTGCAGTTTAATGGTATTTTTTTAGTCTCTCGGGAATACTAAATTTAGGTAATACACTTTCCCTTTGGAGTATAGTCAAATTTAGGACCAACAAGATTTTAATAAATTATACCTCTGATATAGGTCCCAACTTATATTTCAAGGCCAACATTTTGCTTTGTAAATTTTTTTATCTGCCTTGGTGGTCCCCAATTCCAGACCAGCCCTTGTGTCCTTAATGATATTTGTGTTAGAATTCTCAAGCTATTACTCTGGAAGTATTAGCATTTTAAAAGGGAGTCTTAAAGACTTCAAAGCACTCAAGCCCCTGATGAATAAAACTTAAGTGGAGAACATGACAGAAAGGAGACATTTGTGGACCTGACCAGTGCTTTGCAAATTATCCAGAGAGTTATTCATATCTTCCATACCTTTTCTAAGGATCAGAAAATCTCTGGATTCATCACAGTGAAGCTCATTTTGGCTTATGGCCAATGTGAAAAACACCGTCTCCCTTCCCCAACCTCCTCTGGTGTGGAGTTGTCCTAAAAGGTACAGAAAACAGAAGGAATGTTGGTTTGGAAGGTCTAGGAATTGAATACCTGTTGGTACTCTAGGCAAAGAGAGGACCCCATCCTGTCAAAGTGACTCCTCTGAGGTGCCATTATCTTCCCCTACGTGGATGTGCGGTGTGGCGATGACCAAAATGATCTGGATTCTGGAGAATGTTAGACCTTCCAATATTTAATCTTTCTAGGCAAGTAGATCTTTTAGTTGCTCTGGTAATGAGAAGATCATGTGAGATAATCATCCACAGAAAACAGATGTGACAGAAATAAAATGTCTTTTTTCTTCTGTGAGAACATCTCATGTTGTATAAGGATTGCTACTGTCTTATGAACTCATACCTACTAGTACAGTCATCAGATCGTTTTATAACATTTCTTCTGTTGGCTTAAAAAAAGAGTAGGTTGCCTGCATAGCACCTAAATGGTATTTGTTGATATATAAAAAAAGAATACGCTAAACATATGGCATTTTACTTAAAGAGAGGTTTTTGGTTTTTTGTTTTGTTTTTGTTGTTGGTTTTTAAATACTGAGTGCTTTGATTTGACTTGAATTTTAAGAAATTTGCCACAGTGTAATTTATTAACTAAAGATCTTTTCAACTGATAAGTGTCATATAATAATCTCTTTCGGTAAAAAAAAAGAAGAGTCCTCTTGACCTGTACATTGGAGTTCTGAACTCAATAGTTTCAATTTTGATCATTTCTAAACATTTAGTGAACAATCATATAGATCTGTAATTGCTGTGTTAAGTGGCTCTTTCTTGATTTCTTTCCTTCTTAAATCGTATTGATATTTCCCTCGGAACTGATCAGATAATGAGGCAAAAGTCTCCCAGGAGCCATGCGGTCAGCTTCTTACATCTAATGGGGGCTATTTCAATATCTCCTCCTGCCAACAATTTCACTGTCAATATTTTCCTCTCTGTTAAGTAAACTTCCTGTAAACTGGGAATCAGAAAGAGACTTCAAGCTCATTGCACCCAATCTCCCATTAGATTTAAGAAAACCATCTGCCACATGTAGGCTAGGTCCTTGGCTGGTGATCTCCAACTATGGATCACTCACCACTTCAGGAAAATTGTTCCTTTTGTGTTTTTTTGTTTTGTTTTGTTTTTTGTTTTTTTTTGAGAGTTTCTAATCCTGTTGTTGGATATCAAAGTCATGTTTAAAGTCTTTAGAATTATTACCCGGTATGCATTAACATTAACATAAAGAACATTTACATCTTTTATAAAATGTAATCTTGTTTTATTTCCTTGATAAGAGAGAATAGCAATTTATTTTGCCTAATGAAGTTTCAAGTTGATACAGAAATCAATATGTATTTACCGGGGACAGTTGCTTTTCATTCTCACAATTTTGCTTTCAGGTGTGTCTGGCATGTGGTACATGGAAAGTGGCCAAGGTATTTGGAAAATTTAGACTAATTGGTCTAGGTCATAATTACACAATTGCAGACTTGACCATTCACTAGATGGTTACTGTATTAATCTTCAATTGCTGCTGTAATAAATCATGGCAAATGTAATGGTTTAAAACAACATAAATGTATTATGGTCTAAAGGTGAGAAGTCAGAAATTGGTCTCCCTGGGCTAAAATCACACTGTTGGCAGGGTTATGTTCCTTCTGGAGGCTCCAGCGGAGAATTCAGTTTCTTGCCTTTCTTGTCCACCTTCTAGAGGCAACCCTTTTGCTCATGACTCCCTTCCATCTTTAGAGCAAGCAATGGTCAGTTGAATCCTTCTCACATTGAATGACTCTGACCCTCACTTTTCTGCCTCCCTCTTCCACATTTAAGGACACTTATAATCACAATGAATTCATCTGGATGATCCAGGATAATGTCTCTACTTTAAAATCTGCTGATTAGCAATCTAATTCCATCTGCTAACTTAATCCCCCTTTGTCATATAATGTAACATATTCATAGTTTCCAGGGATTAGGTCTTAAATATCATTATTCTGCCTGCCACAGATACTCATTTGGATGTTTGGCTTAGATTTGAACTGAATTTTATGACCACTTGAATTTATCAGATAATTACCCAGTATAGCTTCATTGCTATATATAAACTGGACACATGTGAATTCATTGCTTTTTTTTATCTTGAAAGTTAAATGTAAATTCACTATGCAGTGCTAACTTTTAAAATTGCTGTTTAAAAAAATGGGAAAACCCAATGTTATTAAATTTATAAATGACATAGCAACATTTTACCTATGATTTACAAATAAAATATAATTATTACAAAGTTGAAGTACAGGAGCAGAAACTCTAAAGACTTAAAAAATGTCTCTGTAGCATTATTATGTCAATAAGGGGAACTAATATTCTGGAAATATGAAATTTGTTTACTATTGACTGGTCATGTCCACAAATATTACTTTTATAAAATATTTAATAGTGAGTGCCAAGATCAATTGGATTTATCATCCATTCACCCACATATAAGAAAATAATCTACATTAAGAGAAAATACAAATATTTTCTAGATAGGTACATATAGATGTATCTCATATTTGACCATTTTAAACCCAAGAAAAGGTTTTTTTAATCCCAATAAAACTACATCTGCTCCTTCCAGGTATATCTGGAATTTATCTTCCTGTTTCCATTCTTAAACCTAGAATTATTTTGGAAAAGTAACCCTGTAATTCACTCGTATGCTTGGTTGCATCCTCAATCACATAGGAAAGGATTTTTGCCTTATGAACCTTTTTACATTTCAAAGCTTCTTCCCCTTCCAATGAAAATAATAGCTTGTAGTTCTTTTCAACTTTGCATCATGAAAATTCAATTTCCTTTCCCTCTATGCTTTTATTTATTTTTTAACCCTTCATTTTATAATCTGTGTGGTTTGGTGTTATGTGATACCTGTTTCCTGTACAGTACATTTTCTATTTTTGGCCCCACAGAAATCTTTTTAAATGGCATATTATACTATATGCACTTTAAATGAGATTGCTCTAGTATAGGCTTTTTCTTTGAAAAAAAAAAACTTTTCTCAACATTTACATGAAACACATATAAGGGTTATGCAAAAAGTTCCCAAATAAAGACCAAAAGGTTATAATTTGTCCAGTTATCTTATCAGCATCTTAAAACAAGTATAAATTACCATTGGCCTGAGCAAGTTATTAAGTGTACCTTTGAAAGACAGTTTATAGCAGGACCAGCATGGATGTAAGGTTATTAAGTGAGGTATCAAATGATTACTTGATGACTATTTATAGAGTGGAAAGTAAGATTTCAGGCCCCAAACTAAAGAATCATTAAGCTGTAGCATCTAAGAGTCACTCTGGTTAGCCTAACAATAGTATTTCATAACATGTTAGAGACAGAAGAAAATTTTTGCTAATTTCCACTGTGGAAACTGAGGAGCAGAAAATATAGGAGACATACAAGGCCACCTGGCCAGTTACTGGCCACTAGCCACACAGGGTCAGTGTCCACTCTTGTCATTGTTCCTGCCCCATCTGGTCCAGGCAGAGTAGCAAGTCCATCCAAAGGCTCCAGCCAATCCTAGAGTAATGGTGTGGCTGGAGATCTGTGTACCTGGGGGCTCCTTCCCTTGCAGAACTAACTGGATGTGTCGGCTGCTGTGGAAAGTCATCTAGAGCCTGGGCCAGACCTTGCCCACCAGTACTTGCGAGTACTTTCAAATAGCATCACCCATATTCAGTCACATGATTTAATCATAAACCTGATGAAAATTTAAGTACAAATGCAAATTACTGTGTGATAATATAGTAGCAACATGTCTTTATGACTCAGGACTATCCAGCATCAATTACTTCAAGGTGCTGTTTTGTAAAGCAGAAGGGAAAAGCACCTCATTAGAATGTTGTGTTGCTTGGAACCCTAAGACCCTTCCAAAGGGGAACCTTGGGATTATCACTGATATAATTGATACATTTTTCAATGGCATTATAAAATAGAAATCATTATTGTTTTTCTACATTTTAGAACCCGGGAATGTAGTAAAATTAAGTAATATGTCTGAATTTAATTTATACCTCTGTGTTAACTTCTGTAACCAAATGAGACCTTATAGTGATGAAGTTGCTAAAAGGAACATTTTTTCCTACCAAATTACCAAATTAGATAATTAAACTTTCATAACATCACAATTTAAGACACATCTTTAAAATATTTAAATCTATATTCTTTGTGGGGGTTGATATTTAGAGGAAATACTGCTTGGAGGAAGAGAAAAAAAACTAATGGTGGTTGTACTGGA